TCCCCCGCCCACACCCTACAGCCACCCTCACCCCAAACACGAGCCACAGGCTTAGTGCCCAGAGATAAATTACTATTCATCAGGAATATTTAAAAACATCGTAACCAAGTTTAGAGCGGCTGTAGAGTTCGGCGATACTGTATACACACGCGTATACACGGTTCCGTTAATCAAGGTTTAGTTATCAACTGAAAACTTCGTCCAAAAATATCCATACGAATGTTTTAAAGAAAAGCTTTACTTAACATTTAGTATTTGTATGTAACAGAATTATTTGTAAACAAATAGTTTACCAATGATCGCAAAACGGTACATAATTTATCTATAATCTATCATAACGGATAATGGAGACATTTGTTAATTTTGTCATTTATATAGGTTAAAGTATACATACGACGTGGATATTGTTGGAGTCGACATTGTAAAAAAGTTAATAAGACTGATTTACACACAAGTTAATTTTCAACACTTTTATTAAATAAAAATAATAAATACAAACAGTAGCAATAGAGCTCTCTTATAAATAACAATAGTTTAGTGAGACGCAGCATCACTACATCTGTTCATCAGATGTCCGTCTCATATCATCGCTATACACAAATAATACGCACAAGTAAAATAAACAAATCTGTACAATCAAAATGCGTTGTACGCAAGGAATGGGGGCACACCTCCATGTCCTTACTTCTAACTCGTAACTAAACGAGGTGCAAATGTTTATTGGCCTTAGCCTTTTCTAAAGTACAATGTTTAATGAACATATAGAATTTAATACGATGAGAAATCTACTATTGAAAGAATCTCGGGTAATTATTTCAAAATAGTGGAAATCGTCGAATGACTGATGGAAAGTGCGGAAATGTTAAAAACAAAATAATAGAATGTGTGATGAAGTTGTAACTAAGAAGCGAATATAAGCAGATAGTTGATACATCTTACAATGAATTTCCTCCACAATGTACAGGAGCTACGTCACACTGAATTATTCCATAAACTTATTGTGTACTCACTTTGTGTTCTACACAAACAGATTTACAATATAACAAACCATTGCATATAAAAACCTCTTTTGTATTTTATTTTATAACTAGCGTACACAAAGTGTGTTAAGTACAACAAGTCACGACTACGAGAAATACAAAATACTACGTTTGAGACATCTCATACAAAAACAGCCTTTTTAAGACGGAATGTATATTTACAAAATACTAAAGAAATATAAGAAAATATATGTATTGTACTGCGATAGTATAGTATAGTATAGTATGTACAAAACATAAAATAAATGCAAATGATGGATGTTAGAGAAGCATTTGATTCAAGTTACCTCCAACATTTTGGTATGTTTGATGTTCAAACTTCTGAATATTAATTTTTAAACAAATTAATAAACAAGGCAACCACACTGAAGATATTTAGATTAATACTTCACATAAAATATATTAATAATAACAATAATACCAGCGGAGTACCTCAGGGAGCCCGCCTGGGACCCATAATGTTATTTTTATCCATTAACCAGTACTAAGTAATAAATACATTAAAAATTATTTCTATATTAATGAGACAACAGACAATATTATAATAATTCTTTTTTAAATTGTAACTTTGCTCATTTGTATAAATACGTAACTCTTCAAACTACTGCTAAATTCAAAAATGTCGTACAAATATACTTATTTTGCAACAAGAAATGCCATTACATCACAATATGGTAAGTCGTATTTAAACGATATAACTGATAGTACTGGAACAATGATCAGCAACAGTACAATACAATATGGAGACATACAAACATTAACTACTTCAATACTAGAAGGATGGCTTGGCTTAGCTTATCTTTGGAAGCCGTCAGTCCGGCGAGCGCAGAGCACTTACACTAGTACTTAGACGTCCACGCGTCGGACACGCTAGCTGATCTACGAACATTGTTATAATATAATTACCATTTAATGGCTGTCATTCCTCTAATCATATATCTCACGTATGTCCAACTTGCAAGCAGTACAAACATCGAAAGGAATCAGTATCGTATACCATTAATATAGATTATCATCATATTAAATATATCAAGAAGACATCCTTACACAGAGGTTGCACCTCTACCTCTACCACTACCACTACCACTCCTTAATCAATAATTCTATATAGGAACATGGCAATACTTTCAAAGTAACTATAGATACACACAAAGTACACATAACCTAATTCGTTTTGACTGTGAGTGTGATTTACACAACATTAAATAGATGTAATCAAATTAAATTATATTGTATAAATTCATGTTATCTACATTATTTTTTCCTGTTCTCGTGTTGAATCTCGTTTACAAGTAATCATGGATAGAGCAATGAAACAAGGAAGACGATACGGAAATAAGTTGAGACTACTCTCACGCCACGATATCATTGTATCCACCGTTCTCGCTAATTTTGCATTAAATTACAACGACGTTCCTTACACTTAATAGTCAATATATTTAGCTGAAGGTAATAACTAATTTGTACAATAATGTGAATCGCATCGTCAAGGAGTATGAAATGTATTGTGCTTTACAGTATTTATACATTGATGTCAGATTACAGAGACACCGCGCTCAGATTATACGGGACTGTTTCAATCTCTATTGCTACGATAGTCTCAGATAGGGAAAGCACACAAACTCTTGTAATCCCGTTTAATCCAACGTAATTAAAATATCGAGTATAAAACATGGCGGTGGCTATGTTTGATATGTGTAATATTTACAATGTGTGTGGG